CCTCACCTTAATCCAAGTCCAAAGCTTGACATCCCCCAAACCACTGGAGGGTGCAAGTCTGCATTTAGGGCTGTTTCCTTCAATAGAGCGCTACTGGACTCATCAAACGAGACAGACTCTGTTCCTCAGCAGCTCCGGTATGGCACGCAGGGCAGTAAACTGCATCGGATCACATCACTTCCATCCCAAAACACCAGGTCTGCTGTTTCTGCTGGTTCTTTATCATGCTTCCTTGCTTAGAGTATTTCCTTTGTGTACTGGCCACTATTGAAATAAATCACTTGCACAGATTATTTGAGGCCAAGTAGTAGCTTCTTCCAGAGAGGGCTTTCATTAGCTTCTGGTCACCTCCTGAGGGCAGTGCCAGTCAGGGACCTCACCTTAATCCAAGTCCAAAGCTTGACATCCCCCAAACCACTGGAGGGTGCAAGTCTGCATTAGGGCTGTTTCCTTCAATAGAGCGCTACTGGACTCATTTTAAACCAGTTTTGATGGGTGGGATGTTGGCATAGTGGCTGACTCATTCGGGGCATATCCCGCCCAGGCTTTGTTTTCTGGGCAATCTTCCCTGTGATACTGCCCACAGTGGCGCAGTTTCATAATATCCTATTGATAAATGTCCTCAGATAAAAGCAGCTTTGACTGCTAGGCTCACCTCTGAGTTTAGGGAAAACCGAAAGACTCACTTCTTGCCCTGACTCAGGAGGCCTTGCATCATTTGGCCTTTGGCAGCTGTGCCCCCGCTGGCCACCTCTGAACCAGCCACCGTCCTCTGGGCCAACCTCACCCAAGTGCTCCCCAAAGGCTTTTGTACTTGTGATCCTTCTTGCCTAGAACTCATCCACAGAGTTCGTAGCTTCTGAGCCATGACAGTACTTTCTTCAAACTCATTTCTGTGATTTTGAGGAACTGTCATTTATCTGCACCTGTTAGGGCTCATCACTTTTTATACTGTAATCTCATCTTCTTTATTACATGGACACTTTGAAGATCTGTTTCATCTGCTATCCTTCACACAGGAGAGGTACCAAGTACAGATGCTCCCTTATGATTGGGTGACACCCCAATAAAACCCTACGAATTGGAAATCTTGAAAAGTAGAAAATGCATTTAATGCATCTCCCCTACCAAGTCACAGCTCAGCCCAGGACACCTTACCTGCCCTCGGGCAGCACACCTTAGCCTCATCAGACAAGGTCATCTTGCTGCCGCCGCCCAGCATCAAACACTGTACTGTGTATCGCTAGCCCAGGAAGAGATGAAAATTTGAAGTATGGTTTCTACTGAATGTTTTTTCACACCCTCAAGTTGAAAAATTTAAGTTAAAGACTGTACTTTTTTAATGTCCATTTTTAACTTTAATGAGTGTTAGGTTTATCTTCATGATCTCGGAGTTCCTCAGATGTTTTTAGTTTAAAACAATTATATTCTTGATCTGTAAATAAATTCAAGACAAGCAATTTACCTCAGAGATAAAGCAAGGATATGAGAAACACCTTTTAATATAAAGAGCAAAACCAGTGAAGAATTTACTTGACTATTTTCTAACTCACTGGGACAGGAAGGGTAGGGTGCTCTGCTATAACATGTCACAGATGGTGATTTAGATGTTTCAAAACCGCTGGAACCTGAATAACATTCTTTGTAAAAGCTAGGATAAAAGACAAATGCAATCCAGTTAATTCAACAAACATTTATTATTAAAAGCTGTTATCACAGGACCATGTGCTCCAGAGTTCAGGATGGGAGACTAGCGTGGGGGAGGACAAAGACGGTAACTTTGTAGCTACTTAACGGTAGCTATTTAACTGGATCTTTCTGCTAGAAAAGCAGATGGAATGTTCTAGAAACAGGGAAGAACATCAGCAAAAAAGGTTCTCCTGTTTTGCTACTCCTTACGGAACAAGGTGTGTGGATAGTGGAAGAGCCGCCTCACAACACCAGGACCAAGCAGTGAAAAGCCACCATGGCAAGGGGACTGGAGAAAAGGGACATTTTAAAAACAGGCCCAACAGGACTTAACGATGTCAGAAAAGGCCGGTCAATAGTGGCAGACACTATTTGGGGTAACTAGTTGCAAAGAACGCCATGATGACAGGGAAGATGAGAAAGACATTTTGGGGATGAGCTTGAAGATAAAAAATGTTCCCGTCAGGCTGGAGACCTTTTCCGCAGGGTAGAGCCATCCGCATCGGGTTCTCGCCTGAGGCTCCGTATGCACGCACACTAGGTCACTGAAAGCTATAGTTAAGAGAAGATACTTTCTACCTTAGTTTCTCAGTTTGACTTTTCTTATTAAAATATTTTCATACTCCACTGGACTGGAAAGGGCACAAAGGTACTCCCACTTAGAGAGTCTGCCTTAAGCAAACATTAAAAGGAATCTCATAAGCAATTTAAAAGATGTGTTGACGGATTCCCAACAGGACAGATACAGGACCATTACGGCTTTGGACTATATTATACAAGCACAGAAAACTCTTAGCTGCGTCATGTGACCCTGCAACTCAGTTCATGTTTAATTCTGCTACGTGTTACATCGGTGTGAAGAGTGCTAAGCATGCAGGGCAGGCTCCAACAGAAGCACGTATCCAAGTCGCTTAAACTACTGGAGAACGTCGTACCTGCTACGAGAGGTAGAAATTATTTGAAGGATTATAATAAAAGGAGAGAATGCCACCAAAGTACAAAGGAAGATGGATCTTTTATTTGCCCAGCCAGCTATGAATCGAGCTGGTTAGGGGTTAGGGCTGCAGAAACGGCTTTGTGGCAGTATGGCCACCCCAGTAAGGGGCTCCTGGGGCGAGCCGACCCTCTGTGGAAGGAAGCCAGAGTACCAGCAGAGCACACTGAACCCCTTCCTGCCGGAGAAACTGAGGTGTGGAGATGTCCCCTTCTTCTGCTACGTCCTTCCCTCTTCTCACGAGTCCCTCGCTAGGTCAGTCAGTTGATGGGTCTGCACTCAGAGAGGCACCCGCAGGCTCTCTGCAGTACATCCTGACTGAAGCGCAGCACCAGGCTCAGGTGACTAAGCCAGTGCCCAGGTCCCAACGTCCACGGTTTCGGAAAACGCCGTCTCTAACCAGACTCAGTGAGTGAAAGCATGAGAACAGGACACCAGGCTACACTCCTACGTCAGGCGACCCGCCGCGCGAGCGAGCGAGCGGCCCTGGCGGCTTCTTTCCGCTGCGCTCATTTTTGGAAATGACAGCTGGCTGTTCCCACAACCTTTTAAAGACCAGTCTTTTGAAAAGAGAAACTGCTATTTAAAGAAATTTTTACATTATTATGGGGTTTAATATCCGATTCAGTATTCAAGTCTACAGAAAAAACGTCAAGGACAACTGCTTTATTAAAAGTTACTAAATTCCATAAAGCACACAATGTAATTTATATTCAACTAACAAAAGTTTGGTACATGTATTTAAAAATATATAATATATAGATTTATGTCTTAACATTTATATTCGATTTAAAAAGCAGTAGCTTTACATATTTTACAAGTTGAATTTATAAAATATATACATCTACCCTATTCAAATCCTCAAGCACGAACTTCCATTCCTATTAATAAAATGCACAATCTTTAATTCTGAATATTGAGAGAAAAATGGTACCAACTAAAAATAACAAATCCATTTTGACTTAAACATGCACTTAGTTCTTGGCTACGAGATAATGAATCTAATAATCTATTAAAATTATTTTACCTCAAGCCTGACAATCAATTTGCACTTTATATAAAGAATCTATGGTTAACTATGAAGACTTGCATTTTCATGGTTATCTGACACAATCTACCAAATTCCTTACTAGTCCTGCTTCAGGCTTTAAAGTGAGAGGCAGGATTATTTAATCTTTCCATGTACCAGGAAATCTGACAAGTGACGTCACACTTTACAAGCCAAGCCCAGTCAGTGTGAAGCCACGCTCTGCCTTTCAGAAGACAGCTTACAAGTACTGTAGGAGCACTTTCTTCAAAAACCCTGACACTGTATGTGCCGAGGAAGAGAACAAGAGCTGTTTTTCTTTTTCCCAGTCAACTGTACTCAACTTGCAAAACTGGAGATCTTTAGGTATGCTAAGATATGCCAGCTTCTGTTCTGGCATTCTTTCCATACATTCAAAATGACTCTGGATATATTTTTTAATCGACAAAACATTTTTCATAAAAAAGATATTCGTATAATCATTCTGGAGATTCATCCCCAAATATAAGTCCCAACACGAACATTTGAGAATTAAAATCACAATAAACACCTCAATTAACCAGTACCATTGTCAGAACCAGAACTTCAACTTGCAGGAGATCTAAGTTTGAAGGACATGTTTAGATTCCATGGGCCTCAAATGATAATGTTGTAAAAAAGCCCATCTTTAAATGAATGCATGATTTATGCTGAGAAAGCAAGTCTCCCATAAATTATTTCTGAAAGAGTTCCAAATCTCAAAAAGGCTTAGAAACTTAAGTGAAAATAAATGAAAATTAATTTACCAAGTAATTTAATTCAGCTGGCCAATAATTAGGTTTTGGGAGAGTCACCACCCAAAAAGTAACTGGCTCCACCAGCCAGATAGAGCAATGTTATAATTTAATTTGGGTAGGCATTTTTCTCCTATTTTTACCTAGACATATTTAATCCATCGTGTATTTTGGTCTCTCTCCTTTGTCAGAAGTTTAAAAAATAAGATGAAAAAATAAAATAAGATGAGCTCAGGATAAAGCAAGAAAAATCTGGCGAGCTGTTCGTAATGCCAAGTGTGGTCTATTTAAAAGACTTCTCTATTAACAGGTTAGGGGCCTAGGGCTTCAAGTAGTCTGATGTCGGAACTTTGTTTCTTCTACGAAAAACGCAGCGATTGTCGGTCAGAGGGGGCTATCTGCCGATCCGCTTTGGGTTTGGGCTTGTTTTGTAAAAGAGAAACTGCTATTTAAAGAAATTTTTACATTATTATGGGGTTTAATATCCGATTCAGTATTCAAGTCTACAGAAAAAACGTCAAGGACAACTGCTTTATTAAAAGTTACTAAATTCCATAAAGCACACAATGTAATTTATATTCAACTAACAAAAGTTTGGTACATGTATTTAAAAATATATAATATATAGATTTATGTCTTAACATTTATATTCGATTTAAAAAGCAGTAGCTTTACATATTTTACAAGTTGAATTTATAAAATATATACATCTACCCTATTCAAATCCTCAAGCACGAACTTCCATTCCTATTAATAAAATGCACAATCTTTAATTCTGAATATTGAGAGAAAAATGGTACCAACTAAAAATAACAAATCCATTTTGACTTAAACATGCACTTAGTTCTTGGCTACGAGATAATGAATCTAATAATCTATTAAAATTATTTTACCTCAAGCCTGACAATCAATTTGCACTTTATATAAAGAATCTATGGTTAACTATGAAGACTTGCATTTTGATGGTTATCTGACACAATCTACCAAATTCCTTACTAGTCCTGCTTCAGGCTTTAAAGTGAGAGGCAGGATTATTTAATCTTTCCATGTACCAGGAAATCTGACAAGTGACGTCACACTTTACAAGCCAAGCCCAGTCAGTGTGAAGCCACGCTCTGCCTTTCAGAAGACAGCTTACAAGTACTGTAGGAGCACTTTCTTCAAAAACCCTGACACTGTATGTGCCGAGGAAGAGAACAAGAGCTGTTTTTCTTTTTCCCAGTCAACTGTACTCAACTTGCAAAACTGGAGATCTTTAGGTATGCTAAGATATGCCAGCTTCTGTTCTGGCATTCTTTCCATACATTCAAAATGACTCTGGATATATTTTTTAATCGACAAAACATTTTTCATAAAAAAGATATTCGTATAATCATTCTGGAGATTCATCCCCAAATATAAGTCCCAACATGAACATTTGAGAATTAAAATCACAATAAACACCTCAATTAACCAGTACCATTGTCAGAACCAGAACTTCAACTTGCAGGAGATCTAAGTTTGAAGGACATGTTTAGATTCCATGGGCCTCAAATGATAATGTTGTAAAAAAGCCCATCTTTAAATGAATGCATGATTTATGCTGAGAAAGCAAGTCTCCCATAAATTATTTCTGAAAGAGTTCCAAATCTCAAAAAGGCTTAGAAACTTAAATGAAAATAAGTGAAAATAAATGAAAATTAATTTACCAAGTAATTTAATTCAGCTGGCCAATAATTAGGTTTTGGGAGAGTCACCACCCAAAAAGTAAACAAAATTCTCTTAATATTAGTAATTAAGAACTAAATTATAGTTAACAGCTCATTTAGCCAATTTAACAAATTTTGCCACCTGCTGATGGACTGAAATTATGTATCTGAAATTATGTATTTTATCTGTAGGCAGAAGTCTTTTTATTAAAAAAAATTCTGATGAGAGGTAGAAATTTTAAAAATCTTCCTTCCTCTGGATTCCCTAACCCGAAGAAAAGGAAAAGGAAGGAAGGGGAATGGGAGAAAGAAGAAAGAAAGGGAGGGAGGGAGAAAAACTGAGAAGTCAGAAATAAAATGCTAAAGGCTGATACACTGTACATATGTAAGAAGACAGAAAGGAAAACAAATAAAAGAGGGATAAAAAACAAACACAAACAACAAAAAAGGACTGCGAAGAGGATTAGATTAGGGCTGGTTGGTGCGGCTTAAGACACTTCACAGATCTCAGTCATGCAAAGGTATTAACGTAACACAGAACAGTGCAGCAGCTGGTTTTGAGAATGAATCCTCAGAAGAGAAACATATGGTGAAGCCTCAGTTCTTCATAAAAAACCAACTTATATACACAATTATCAACCTGAAGCATTCAGCTAAAATATGTACAAAAAACTAAATAAAAGTGAGATCAAGAAATATAAGCAGCAGTAACCATAAAGGCCTAGTGACACCGAAATCTTTATTTAAAAAAATTTTTTGAACACACAGTACCTCCTCTTCTCTTCTATTTTTAGGAAGAAGCTTTAACAAGTTTTAAATATCTCAATTCTCAAAAACAATAGGCTTTTAAAAAAATAAGACTCAAGTACCAGAAACAAGTAATATGTGGTTACATACCATTTTCATATCACTAGTCATTTCCATTATTTGTCAATTCATCTTTGATGCAATCTGGGAACAATCAAGCAGTCACTAGAGACCTGTTTTAGAATCTGAAAAAATTATTATCCACCACAGGAATCTAAATATGCATATATTTAAAATTTCAGAAGGGAAAAGTAATAAACTATTCTAGTTACTTTATACCAAATATTTGTGTACCTAATCAAAACAACAGAGATTAAGAGCTTTCTCCAGAGGAACTGTATAGAAAAGCGATTTTTAGCATTTTTTCCCTAGGGATTAAAAAAGGCTTTATTTCCCTGCTAGCTTAAAAGGAGGAATTTACACATTACAAGTGAAGTCCTTTAGAAGTGAATATTAAATTCCTTAAGAGAACATCCATAAAATTTATTTTTAAAAATTTATCTTAAAAAAACTGAAAACCATTTAAAATCTATGGCATTAATACCTACTTGACATAAGTTTTTTTGAAAGGGCACCAAGTTCCTGATCTAAGCATGCAAAATAAGGACTTGAATGTATCACTGTCAACGGAATTTGGCAAACCAGAAGAATGGCCTTAAAATAAATAAATAAATAAATAAAAAAGGAAGTTCTACTGTCTAAATACAAGAGTATAATTCGCAGGCCTACGCAGCAGAGAGCGCCCCACAGAGGGAATGCAGGCAGGAGGGAAGTAGCGTGTTCCTATGTACATTTTCTTGGCATTCTGGTTGTCATCCAACATGATTACAGAGAAATATTTTTTTTATTATTACAAAGCCACTAATTGCCCTCTCTAGAACAATGACTCAGGTAAACGTCTTATGTCTTTTAATAATGTAATTTACATTAAAATTAACTTCTTAAATCCAAGTGCAAGGAGTTTTCAGAGATTCCTAAGTTCAAGGGAGTAATGAAGAGGTGTTATCTGATTGCAAACTTTGAATGGTTGGTATGTCTATCTTATAGGATATTTCATCTTAATTTCTTCTCTTTAAACCATAAAATGTACCGAAATTATTTGGTTTTCCTTTACTTTCCTCCACTTCATTTTAATTTATTTTACGATATCTCTATGTAGAGAGAGAGAGGTATGTTAAAATACTGTTTATATTAAAAAACTCAACTGAGGTTATATATGAGCTATTAATCTATAGTATAGCATTGTTAATCTTTGACCTGGTATATCGATTCCTTTGGTGAATAAACGTCACAGGTCATTTTCTTATAAAAGGATATCGGTGAGAGGACCAGCGGTATGAAGACTCCCCCACCCCAACTCCAGAAAATGGTCAAGTCAGTCAGGAGGTTAGAGCCGTTATGTAAAATATGGAAAAAAAAAAAAAAAAAACCTCACATAATTTACAGCTACAATTTTCAAATTAAAAAGCACTTAAAAACTAAGAGTAATTCAAAGCATTCCAAACAACATTTTCTGTCTTGTTAAACAGACCAATTAAGACGGATAGAGACTAGTGTGAAAACTTAGGTATATCTAGTAAAGATAGAACGAAAATGTTTTTAATTTTAAAAAGTGGCAGTTGCTAACTAGCCATATAAACAGTGTCCACAATTTGGTAGCTGGCCATAGTTTTAATTTTTTTCAAGTTATTTCTAAAGCAGACATATTTTTGAAGTCTACCCACCCTGAGTTCAGCAATTATACTTTAGAGTGTAAAATTATATGCCCTTAATTAACATGTACAAAGCTACAAAATGTCATCTATACAGAGATTAAAAACAATTTTTAAAATAGTCTTTGCCAATTATTGATTGGATGGTTTTGCTGGGGTACATATTTCAAACCTTTGAGCCAACTGGCTTTCATTTTTAAGTTCAAATTGATTCATAAATTCATTGTAGGATATGTCAAAAAGAGTGCAACAATAGACATTAGTAAAAATAACATTGTAGTAGAAACAGATTTTGCATATGTGAAAAGGTAATTTATAAAATACAGTAATCACTTTTTAAAAAGAGAATCTACTTGCAGTTATCATTAACTTACATGGTACTGAGAACTGGACCTTTCAACAATTTTTTTTTTTTCTGTAGAAAAATTTTTATCTAGCTGGAAGCAAAGTCTTCTAAACAACAAGAAAACAAGACAAATCCCTCAGAAGTAACTGCATGGTTGTGTGAGACAAGTAAGCAAACATACCATTCTACGGTGTACTTTTGCCTAAATTTTAAAATAAAAATGTCCACACTCTTTGTTAAAACATTAAGCCTCTGTCAAAAATGTATTTCTTATTTTAGGGTACAGGATTGAAGGACAAGATGATACTTACAAGTAAAGAAAATTTACAAGAAAAAACTTGACAAAAGTTCTTCAATTAAAGTATTGTAACATTCAAACTTGACTTAAAACATAAAAGAAACAAAATTGCAAACAAAAATGTTTATGGATTTTCCAAACATAAATAAATGAATAGTGTTTAGGCAGTAGGGCTCATGCTGATGGCTAGCAGGAAGTAACAGAGTGTAATCTACTTGGAAAAACCGTTAATGTACAAATAATAAGCCCAAGTCATGGACTGCAGCAGTTTAATCATCACTGCCATTTTTCTTACTTCCAATATAAAGCCTTGATTAAACCACTCATACCCTATATTAATCATACCTTTACTTCAGAGATCGAGGAACTATATACAACAAATGAATTTATTTTCACCATAGGGATAACGTATTGTACCTCTCTGCCAATGTTACTTGAAAACCTTTCATGTCAAAACAATTTGACAGCAGATATAAACAATTCAATAAATACGCAATGATCTTTCATTACAGTCCTTTAAAGATGCATGTTAATTCATGCTGTTAAACCTTAGGATCACAGTGCATAGAATCCAAATATAAACAGTTGGGGTGACCTTCAAAGTAATGTTGGATCCCTCACTTTATTTATAATCCCACGATAACCTGTAAATTCATTTCATAGGCCCTATCATGCATTAATCACTGGGTGGCAGGAGTTAATGAAAATTTTTCCTATTATAACGTCCATTGCCGGCAATGAACGTCCCCAAACCGTCAAGGAAGTCATTGTTATTGCACAATACATGAGGACCTGGAACTTTTCCAAAAGCTTAAAAAAATAAAAATAAAAAATGGAATTATATTTGACATTTCCTGACACCTGCATTAATACTGTATGACTAATAAAAGCATGTCAGTTGCCCGGACTGAACCAGCGATCAACATGCGCCCAGAATGCACACGAGTAAAAATGCAGTAAAGGAAGTAGTCTTCATTGCCTATAGGTCACTTCCAGTCAAAGGTTAAAGTTCAAAGACTGAATGATCAAAGTGCTCATTTCTCAGTAGGACTATCTTCTGCTAGGAGGATGATAACAGTGGCATCAACAAGTATCATCTTTAAGAAAAGGAGAAAAAAGAGAAAAGTCACGCATGTGTAAGTCATCTGTGAGTCAGTCTAACACAGAAACAATCCCAAGCAGCAAGAACGGGGTTTACATGTCTGATCTGCCTCCCCCAGTCCCTGCAAATAAAAGGTGACAGACAAATCAAGCCAAGTCCTAGCCTTTCAGGGAAATGGTAGTTCACACAAGTCTTAAAATGAAGAATTGTTAATATGTTAGTTCTATTTAAAATAATTAATTGATACATGTTAGCGTACATCCAGGATTTATCAGTCTTAAGAGAATTCTTTTATGGGCAATAATTTTAAATGGTAATGAGATAGGAATTAAACTCTGGACCAACACTGTCATGCTACTTAATAATACAGAATAGTACAAGTCATGTTTCTAATCTATGAAGGAAATCACTTTGCAAATGAGGTACAACCTCCAAGTCAATCAAATAATGTCATTTTCTTTAGAAAATGAGTTTTTCAGTAAGTATAGATATATATATGCAAAAGAGGTAATTAAAAAAAAAACAGAATTATTTAGTGACGTCTTCTGGTAGCCTCAACACATAACATTTACATAACACATAGTATAATCTTTTGGGTTCATGACTTATTTTACAGAAATTATTTCACAAAACATATCTGAAGGATTCATTCTGAAGACCAGTTATTCTTCAGAAAGAAGTCAGACTAGTGGCAACTACCCAAAAAAGTTGTGAAAGCTCTCAAGGAGAAAATTCTGAAAAATTGCCCAAAATATTTTACATCCATCCCATGTTAGGATCGATGTATTGCTTATAAAATTCCCGTTCATAAAGGCTCAATGAGAGCTAAAAAACAGTAAACTGACTTCTACTCCGGGCAAACTAGTAGAATAGTCCATGATCCTGCACTTTAAGAGTATTCTAACGGGTAAAATAGACTAGATTTTAAAAATAAGTCATAACTGCATCATCAGAATCCTTTAAATAAATAAGAATATCTTTAAGAAAACAAGTGGATAGTTTATAGCCTTAAGTGTCATGTGACACTATGTTTCTTAAATCACTGTGGAAACTGAAATAAAGAAGATATACAAGAATATGAATAAGTTCCTTAAAATATCACTTCTCTAGCAGAGTATTTTGTAACACTAAGGTCCTTGAAATTAAGACTAAAACTAATCAATACTAAAACTTAAATCTCTATGCTAAGAGATGGCATTAAACTCTACTTAATATGTCAAACTACTGGAGATAAAGTTTAGTACCATACCGACAATGTATACACTAAGTGACAGATAAAATTCAAACTGAACACAATGTTAACCAGGAATAAGCTTTTATCTCCAAAGACATTATCATCTTTGATAAATGGTACCATCAATACATCTTTATCAGGTTGTTCATTCTGGAAGTTTCCAGTACAGCAGGCTCTTGTAGAATGTGCTACCAACCTCCAAAAGGGTTGGAGACCCACGTAAAGCTGTTCTTCCTGTCTCAGCTCCCATCTTGGGTCGGATGTTAAAGGAAATTTAGGACTAATATGATACCACCTGCTTTGAATATGTACTCTTGAAGAAATAAGCATACTAAGTAAGTTCTGAAGAGTTCGATTATCTCGGCTAGGTGAACCCACAGGAACTTAAACATTACAAATCTGTGATGGCTATCTGCATGTAATCAAGAGTCTATGAGCAAACACTTGTGTATGAAGACAGGACAGGTATGAGCCAAAGCCATGGCCTCCTTTTCCCTAAAACAGAAGGCCATCATTAAGAAGCAAAAAATATATCTGTTAGCAGGAACAGCTTCCTGGCTATACGAAAGGATTCTTGGATACTAGGAACGGCTTACACAAAAAAAGTTTTACAGTAAACTCATCTTGAATCAAGACGAATACAGGTCTATGAAAGGTGCTGTAATAATACAAAGAATTTAATCTCTTGGCTCAATTATTTGTGGCAAGATGATGGCCTGAAAAACAAAATATCTGTTAACTATTTAAATTTTTTTCTGGAACTGCAAAAGCCCCTATTAAAATTATACCCTCAAAGATAATATACAAATTACCAGTTCCAAAGAGGTGACACCTACCATGGCTAACTTCACGGGGCATCTGGGAAATGTGAATGAGAGAGAGCTACATTAGAAGAAGGTCACTTAGCATAAGAACCATCACATTACATGGGAAATCATCTCCCTGGATAGTCCCAGGGACAGAAGACTAGAAGAAAAGGAACACAGTAATAGGTCAGCAGATACGAAGTGGGATGCTACCTCGAGAAAGAAAAAAAACCCATCTTTACAGTTAGTTTTGTCTCTCAACAGTTTAGGGAATTAAAGTTTTCCTTTGATAAACCGATTCAAGAAAGATCTCAGAGTAGATAATGGAACTGTTATCCAGCAGGAAATAAAGGGCAAAGATTGAGTAAAAGTTTGGACTCGTGAATTTAGAAAATGGTTTTGTAACCCTAAAAGGCAGCACAAATAAAAGGTTCACAACTAATGTAGATAAATCTATGTATTTAAAAGGCAAGGAGAAAAGAAGTTTGTCAATACTAGTCTGAGATAATTTTATGTTCCTATCCTCTTACAATCCTTATAATTCTATAGGAAATGTTTCAGCTAAATGGAACCAGAATATAGTCTGCAGTTTTGTAAAAAAGGGATTCCTCCTCCCAAAATTACAAACTCATCAGTTTACTGGATATAACATGTAAACATTATGCCATTCCAATAAGCCGATACTCAACAGCAGTCGTAACCTACATTGCTCAATTCTCCACCACTTTAAGGAAAATGCTTCAGGAACCACTGATCTGTACTCTCATCTGTGGAAAGCAATCATTTCTGAAACTAAGTTGTAAATGTTTAATATTGGTCCCAAAAAACAGATGGATATTATTAATGGATTCTAGTTGGCTATCTCATTGAAATAGTTTTTATAATCTCAAAAAAGTTCATCTTTTTCAAGAACAATTATGTCTGTTTTATGATACAGAACTCTGAGGCTCATTCATTCATTTGTAAATGAACTGGATATGGATCCGTTTTCAAAGGAAGATTCTAGCACTGAACCAAAGGTAAATCCTTCAGCTCTTGTGTATGCTGAGATGAACTGTTTTTTCAAAGACCTATTTTGATTAGGTCTCTTTTTATTTTTTTAATTCTATTCTCTCAACTCAATTGATTTTTCAAAGCATGTGGATCGCATCCTTAGTTGGCAACACAGAATACTTGCATTCCAATGCAGTATGACCTCAGTTAACTTCAAGTAAACCACAATAAGGAGTATATATTCACAAATCAATGACTTGCACGATATACACCTAGGCTATATGGTACAGACCATTGCTCCTGGGCTACAAACCTGTACAGCATGTTACTGTACTGAATACTGTAGGCAAAAATAACATAATGGTATTTGTGTATCCAAACATAGAAGAGGTACAGTAAAAACATGGTATAACAGATTATGAGGCTATAACCTTATGGGAACACTGTCATACATACAGTTCATCAGTGACCGAAATATCATTATATGGCACGAGACTGTTAAGGTATGACGTACACAAAGACAATTAATAGCAGGTAGCAGTGACTTCCCACTTTCCAAGGTATACTAAACTAATAATGTGGAAGATCACAAATTTAATATGAGAAAGGCTTTTTTCCAAAAATCCAACCCTGGTATCTGGCAGCTCAATTTTGGAGTCAGCTGAGTTCTCTTCTAAAAGCAAGAGATGAACTATATTGCAGATCTGTTGTTTCTCTTGAACAGTGCCTCCACCCTGCACCCAGAAGCCCCTTGAAGTACACAGGTATCACTCACCTAAACCCCGAACCTCTCCTGCCTCTCTGATTACACCTGACGAACACCCTGGCCCAAGCGTGTCAGCTGGCACCATAAGGAAGGACTTGATACCTGAGACCTACGATTCTGCCTGGTTCTAGAAACTGAAACATTGAGTGTTTCGGAGAGTTCTTCCAACCCCAAGCAAGTCTCTGTTCAGTTTCTGATCTTTTTGTTTAGCTTTGCAGGTCACACTTCATGATCCTTTCAGAATTAGATGACAAGATGACACTAAGAAATAACAAAAGACCATATTCCTTGGTAACTTGGTGTTATAAAGAGAACATGACCAGTGAAGACCTTCTGGAACTAAAGCAGCTAAGCAGAAAAACATTAACATCTGGAAAACTCTAAAACAAAGCTGATGTGTTCTGCTTTGTATTACTTTTTTGATAAGATTTTCCAAATTCAACTACAACACCAAGGTGGGCTATTTTGCGTATCGCCTATAACCGTTATTCTAAAATGTATAAAGAAGGCAACATATGCTACATAGCTGAAATGCTTTAGCTTTTTAAAGGTGGAGGAAAAGTTCGAGGAAGATTCTCTGCATGAACCCATCCGTATTTATGATGGATCATCTGCTCTATCGTCTCAAAGTATAAACTATTATTATTCTGTCTTAATTTCATATGAGGCTCACTCATAGAGCAAAATGGATGACTTAAGGGAAAATGTGGGAAGGAAATGATTTAACCAGGCAGGGTTCAAACAGGAGCAGAAAACACTGAGGTAAGAATGGTTTTTAAGTCAATGAACTGAGGATGTTTTCAACAGAATTACCAGTAAAAACAAATAAAAAACTTGTACCTGGAACAAGAATACTGTCCAAGGATTAAAATTGTACTAGGATAGTCATGATTTAGTTGAATCAGAATCCAGTGCATTTTATATAAAAAAAAAAAAAAAAAAAAAAATTTGTATGGAGGGGGATACTTTTAATCTGTTTATTGGGAAAATTCCTACACAAACCTTGGACCACTTTATATTAAGATGTTTTGTTTGAAAAGCCTCTTTTTGGCAAACTTGGAGATGAACCATCCTCAAACTATTAAAAGACCTTTCCAGTTCAGTTACGAAAGTATGATTTCTCAGTAACGTAACTATTAACTAGCAAAAATGACTTCTATGAAATGTATTTTATTTTAAAGAATTTTTATATTTCTAGTATCACTATGTGACTTTTCTTTCTTATTCAAAAGCAGGTCATAAGAAATTCTGGAAGTATTCTTAGATAAAGGACTTCTCATTAAGTCCCTTCAACTATATAAGGTAGCACAGAGGACTTGAAAGATGATTACCTTTTTGAAATATCCCCAGCAGGGAACAAGAAAGGGAAAAATAGGAACATACTGTCAAACACTAGGGTGGGGTACAGGGGTAGAGAGGGTTATACTTTCAAAATAGATGTATTTTTAAAATTTATCAGACAATTTCTTCTCAAATTTTAAAATTTGGTTTAAAAGCACTATAGAGAAGACAATGGAAGTTTTCTATTATTAGTGAGGTTGAGTGTGAAACAGAATGCCCACTATCTTAGGATCTTAGACACTTTTAAAAAGTGTTTGACTTAGTTGTGTTTGTCGATATTCTTGATCGACTAATCTTAATTTTTGGTGAATTTGAGAACTTACTATATAAGGTCTGTGACACTTATTGAATTATTTTTTTAAAGGCTCTTTGTAAAAACAGCAAGAGGATGTAAAAGAAAGAGAAGCCAGCAATGTAAACTGAAGTAAAGGGCCGTTTAACTAGAGTACGGTCTTGTTAACATTTAAGTGGAGTCTCAGTGCTCAGAAAGGACTCCTTCCGTCTGATTATCAGCACATCCTATTTGAAAAGCTGTCCTTTTATATCTAAGAATCCGTGAAACAGAAGTTCTCACATGACCAGCTATATAGCATTACCTGGGAATATCCGAAAAACTAAAACAAAGCCAGCATTCTAGACACAGTACTAAAGTTTCCTAAAGGAAAGTGTGCTCAGCAAGGCTCTGGTGGGAGTTCCCGAGACAGGAGGGTGTGTGTGGAAGGCTCTGCTGCAGGCACATGGCACATGCAGAGCCAACACCACAGCACAGAGGACAGGACTGGAGTGCGCATTACAGTAACGCTCCCCTGAGCACTTCCTGAATAAAATGTTTCTCGTTATTAAGCATGATTTTCTTAGGAGGAATTCTTGGAAGTTTAGTAACTGAGACAAAAGGTCAATCTTGAACTTTAAGCTTACTAAATATTGCTGAACTGCTTCCTTAAAAAACTACACCAAGTATGAAAACACTTTTTTTCCTACCTTTTACTCTCCTCTAGCAATGCATTCATTTTATAAAACTGCCATTTCACTGTTTCAAAACATCACATTTGTAAATATTTGTGTGTTGTTTTCCAGCCCGTGCTCTTAATTGTATTTATTCCTAAGCAACTTTTATAAATGGTTTTTATTTTTAATAAGCTATGTTTCTCACAATTTTATTTTTTAAATTTTATAGTGACTGTGATTTGAGGGTTTCTGGTGCTTTTATAAAAGGTTTAAATTTTATAACTAAATGTTTAATTTGCGATTTCCGTTTAATTTTAGAAATTTTTCCTTCCTCCAGAGTTAATACCCAACTTTTTAACACTTTTTCTATTGTTCGATTTTTTAAAACTACTTAATTCAATCTACAGGAAATATTTTACATATGAAATAAAAATGTAAATGTCTCTTTCCCAAAATGATTACCGATTTTCTAAGAGGATCAGGTAGGTACTAATTTCTCCTTTCCCCCTGGTTTGTGTGTGACACCTTATTTACCACATATTCAAATCTTATATACAAAGCGGCCTAGAGAAGAGGAATTCTATTTTAATGTCTTTTCTAACATTAATGTTTTGGTGCCTGGTAGACTAATTCTTCTTCATTTTCTTTAGTTCAAATTAATCTTCTCACCTGTTATTTTTTCCCAAAATCTTTCAAGCAGCCACCCCATCATTCCACTGGATTTTTACTGAGTTACATTAAAACTACAATTTGTAAAGAATATACATTTCTTAATAATACTAATTTCTCATCAAGTATCTACTTTTCACAGCTCATAAGTTTTGTTATCTCTTCTCCTAGGTCATCTATATTTCTCACTAATATTATCCCAAATATCCATATTTCTGTGGCTCCAGGAATTCTTCTTTCTCTGTGTTTACGAATTTGTAACTGCTGGTACAGCGCTACTTATTGACTCTACACACCTTTTATCTCGACACTTACAGAACTCCTAGAATTAATTTAAAAAATTTTAACTGGCTCAAATTAACTGAGGTAACAGGTTTCAAACTGGACAGAAAGGTAAGGGGATAAAAGGCCATATTCCTATTAGTTAGTTTTGTCGGTTCTAATTTCTTACTAGGTTAACATTAAAAAAAGCGCAAAACAAAGAAAATGCTCTTATGTATACAAAATCACAGGGGGTGGTTTTTGTTCTCTTGCTTTAAATGTACACCGAGGAATATAAGCTTTTTGTTTTTAATTTCAAACATCTCCTGGCAAAGCAGTAAGGTCAGTTTAGAAAGATAGCAGCTTTCATTTATAAAAGCTACTATCACCCTCCCAACAAGAATAGAAACTTAAAATTATTGAGAGTGCTATATTCATAAAGCTACAATCAGAAGAACCTCAAATTGTTTGAGGAACAACTATTAGGATAGGAAAAGCTTTCTTTAATGGGTCACCTCTAACCATGCGATCTACTCCTCCCCTACCGGACAGGATGAGAACTAAATAAGTACGCAAAGGCATCAAAGCTTCTATTTAAATAACAGGTTTCCCAGTAACTCATTCTAATCTGACTTAAAGATTATTAAGGACTTCTTCATTGTAATGAAATGGTAGAATTGCAGAATGTTAAAGCAATTTTAGATTTTATTTGTATGTTTTCTGTGCCCCATTAAAAAGCCATTCTAACTTATCTGTTAAAATACCTTAAAATATTTAAAAATTTTCTCCATGTTACAAAAATACAACATCAATTACATAGGCCCTTCTTTTTCTCAAGCAGATATGTAATCTTTCAAACCAAAATGCTAAAAACTGTTATTATTCTAAAATAAAACTGCTTACCATGATACCACCATTTTGTTTTCTTTGGATTCTTGTTACATGTTCGAACATAAAAAGAATTATCTGGTGGTCGTCTCTGAAACCAAAAAGAGTTTAAATAGATAAGAAGTTGTAAAACAGAAAAACATAAGGGAGAAATAGTTTTAATAAAAGCTTTAGCAAAACTATTACAGGATGCACAAAAATCAATATAAATGCTAATGGCATAACTTAATATAGTCAAGGAAATATAGACTCTTGACACTAAAATTGTTTTGTAAACATAAAGGGGCATGCCTGTGTGGTTTGGGCAGATTCTAGTAAGATTACTAGAGTGTGCCTAGCAACCAAAAGTGCGAGCATTAGGTTGTAAAGAATTTTGGTTTCATTTATCTTATCTCCCCGGAAATAATTTAGTTATTACTGTTGAAAGCTAATTTAAAACAGAAAAGTCAACCTAATTAAGTTTGTCTGAGAAATTACAGCAACTTATAAACCTCCACAAAGAATTAGGTTTTCTGTAAGATAGTATCATCAAGGACAGACCAAAGGATTCAGTTTCCAAACAACATATAAGAGGAAAAAAGGGGGAAAGATATATTGGCACTTTTGCCATACACGTGCCCTAACCAGCACCACATTAAAAACATGTGGCCGGTCTGTGAGGGAAATGCATCGCCAGCACTGATGCCAACAACATCAGAGAGAGATAACAGAGAATTTTCCTGAAAACTGGTGGATATTAATCAGATACATGAAATGGGTGATACTACAAAGATCTGGAAACATGTCAAAACTGTATTAAAGCTCCTGAGGGCAGGTTTGTAGATAATATGATAGGTCAAACCAAAATGTAAAGGTGAACAGGACACATAGATAGCAGGAAGGAAAACAGACACTCCGCTTGGTCCTTCTAAAGCTCACATACATAACCATGATCTCAGGGGAGCTTCACAATGCCCCCATAGGTTAATGTTAATAACTAAAAAAAAGGAAAGAGTAAAGCATTCGACGTTAAACAAATATCCTGATTATGCTGTTAATACAGTGAGAAAATTTCTGAGAAATTAATATTATGAAATTAGATGCCTGACTACATCACAGAACAGATGATCTGCTGTTGTCTGTCTCACAAAGTCATAACTGGTGTTCATGCGAAATAAACTGCTACTACTATACCAAATAACTTCATAAACTCGTTTTATCTGTATATTTATTAGAAACCAATTTTCAAAAACAATTATTTAAGAAAGAAAAAACCTTAGAGAACTCCTATAATTAATTTTTCAAAGTTTTCAATTGACTCAAACTATGTGCTTAAGTCAAGAATATAACCAAACTGGTAAGTGACCAAGGAGACATGATCATTAGAAAAATAATTATACAAAAAGATGGACTATCAAATATGCTTTAGAAATGGAATACAAGCTAAGCAGGGTAGGGCCTGGTTAGTACTTGGATGGGAGACCACCTAGGAAGACCAGGTGCTGCGGGCATAAAAAATAAAAAAAAATAAGGGATTGTAAACTGACAAGGTCCTTGCAATCTGTGAGGTCAACCAAGGGTTGCCTTGCCTAGAAAAGAAAAAAAAAAAAAAGGAACACAAACTGGAAACTGGAAAGTTTGGATTATCTATATTATAAGGGCACTGAGAATAAAGGGGACATTATTGAAAGGCCTCTGGCATCAATATTAGAAATTATCTCTATTAAAATCTACTGATGTGATAAATTTAAATACCTTCAGTTTAGGGAACTATTCTCGACCGTGAAAAAGAACACTGGAACAAAAGAATTGTGACTAAATCAAAGACCCCAAATGCCTACAGTAAAAATTAAAATTTGTATTCAAAGAGAGTTGACTATTAAAGTGAAACTCAGACAACCATGTCCACCACAGAATAAAATTCACCTGTTTTAACATGAGTTTTCAGTGAGAATCTGAAACTTTTTAAAGCTAATCTGTATGTAGCCAGATTCCCCTCAATGCCAAAGCAAGTTTCCTCCTTATTTCTATAACCCATTACTTAACACAGTAAAAATAAATGTTTGCAGAATTTTATCATATATTATAGAACTAATGCTGCCAGAATTGTGACTTCCAGATTATCACCTTTGTTAAATATGTCATAATTTATATTAATACTGTAGTTTATCAATTCAAATGGAATGATTGGTCTTACACTAAGTATGTTAAGAAACATTAGTAGCAGACAACTAGAATGTGAAGGGAATGGCGAGGGTTAGAAAAGGATGAAGAATGTAAAGAACACAGTCATTTTCTAGTTTTTAATAGCAAATCATTACATTTAAATGTAAACAAAGTTAATCAACAGGCATAGTCAAGAACCATGTGCAGACATCACTGGTGGTCATAACTTTTCTTATTAAATCCTGCATTACTGCCTCACCTTTCTCTAGACATTAAACATTAGCAGAGACACAGAAGCCCTTGTAACTGCAAACCGCACAGCTCCACGCTTAGAAATTTGAGACTTGTATGTGTGCTGGGAGTGGCAGTGGCAGAGGAGAAAACATGGAAGCAATAAGACTTGATTCCAAGGCCCTTGGGGTTAATAAAAGCTCAAGCGTAGCTTAAAATGCAACTCAGAAAAGCCAACGGCAAAGAGGAAACTGAAGTTAAAAAGTGATATTAATGTTAATGACATGGACCCTATTTCATCTCTTCTAAGGTGTACATTTTTTCCTGCACATTTTAATACTCATGAATGGGGATACGTGTCTTTTAACTAACAGTGAGTCAGTTTATCTGTCAAAGTTAATTTTCTTTCTTATAAAGATAGTATATAAAATTGCATATTAAGGCCTCTTAATGAAACAATTAAAAAATACAACTTAACCCATTATTTCTCATGCTTATTTGAACAAGAAAAATTTTAAAAACCTAACACCAAGAAACATGTTAGGGAACTAATATTCCAATAAATGTACTTTACAAGCTGGCTTACAGTTTGTAAATACAATAAAAATGATAGTTCAATTTGGAGAACACAGAAAAAGGCCTGCTAGAATAAATAACCCCACAGCCCTCTAATCTCTAGAAGTTTGTTTCTCCTTTCACAGAGTACCAGAGGAAACGCTCATGGAGAGAGGCTTTTAAAGTGTAGAAACACGGGCACGGGGTGCTGCAGGCACCCCCAAGCGGGCATGACGAGAGGGCCAGACATGCAGAGGACTTGGGTACTCTAAAAGGGGACCCTAAATTTAACTCATGTGTTTTTCTTTCTGGTTATTCTCTCCTCTCCATCGGACACAGAATCTGTGGACTGGTGAAGGAGAGGAAAAGTCCTAAACCCTGCTGGCACCCAGCCTTCCCGCTGCGGCCTCATCTTGTCACTGTGACGGGAGGCTCCGGTTCCCGGAAGAGCCCTGGCGGAGCCGCGAGGGTCCGGCCGGCACAGGGGAGCCGGGGTCGCAGAGGGGAGCCGGGGGCAGCAGAGTGGAGCCGGGCAGCAGAGGGGAGATGGGGCCGGCTGCCTATGACGCCGGCTCCGGGGCTTTCCGCTGGGGAATCTAGAAAGAATTTCTTGTACACCTTTGCCCTTTTGTGTTTACAAAAAAAAAAATTCAGATTACTTAAGAACATCTGCAGAAATTTCCTGTTTAAGAAATAGAAAACAATGTCTAACTTCTATACGGAATCAAAGATTATCAAAATAATTTCCCAATCTATTACTAAACATGACATTCCCTATAAAACTTTATCATAAAAAGCATTATGTCCTTCCTACAAATCAAATGAGTATTAAAATAGTTTCTACCTAACTAGAAGGAGAGAGATTACCTGGAAGAATTCTGAGAAGTCCTACCTTTTCCTTGCAGCTGGAAAGCATGCTAATAATGCTAAGACAGACTGACTGGACTGAGAGCGCTGGGGACCAGTCTTCTGTTAGAATGGACAGACAGATATGACCATTGCTATACACATGAGGATGAACGGGGATATTCTCACCAGTAAACATGACCTGAGAAAGAATAAAATTCCATTAACACTCAAATATTCTGTATTACCAAGGACACAAAATATTCTCTACATAACTTAATATTTTTAAAACCAAATCAAAAACAAATAAAATCAGTGCCAAGAACAAGATTAACAACTGCTTGTTGTTTATTGTCATAACTCAGTAAGTGCTGGCTTTACTGTACTGTAACAAATGCCCGCATCACAGCGGGGAAAACCCAGATTATCTATTTTATATTTCAGCTATTTTTCACAAATCCCCTATAAAACTTTCCAAATTACCATGTATTTTTAGACTAGTGAAAGACAACTCCATTTATAACAATAGTTTTTCAAATTCTATTCATTGCTCTCTGCATACAGAAATCGGTATACTAAAATTCCAAACATTCAATGTTGAGACAGTGTGAGTAACGGAGTGGCGACACCCCTTCTACCTGTTAACAATGCTATCATCTCAGGTGCTATAAGCAAAAGGAAATAACTGCTACGTTACCCGCCTCCTCTAAACTCACACCTCCCTTATGATAGGCACGAATTACTATTTTTTAATCAGCAAATAACTACGTGCCTAGACAAAAAACAAAGATTGAATGAGTCTCCCAATTACTTGCTGTTTTTGTTTTATCTTTTACTCAACTCTTCTAACAGTTTTTCTTTTCTCCTTCTTGTCTCACCACTATTATTTCCTTCCTTTGCCCTAATAATTTAACAAGTATCCCAATAGGAGTGTTTCTTAAACATAGCTACTTAAGCATCTGAATAGGAAAGAGAGTAAATTCATATACCCTGAGGAATCTGTAAGCATAGCCAAAAATAGGTCAAAGAAATTAGAAGTCTTATACTTAAGAATATTTTCATATGTCACTTCATAATATTTATTTTGATATAAAAAGTAATCCACCAATCTTTATGTGATTTTACATTGCAGTGAGATGTACCACTTTTATTGTTTAGTATTAATTCCTAATTCCTGACTTGTCCTTTAAAAAAATTACTTGAAGTCTATAGCCATACCACCCTGAACAAGCCCGTTCCCGTCTGATCTCGGAAGCTAAGCAGGGTCGGGCCTGGTTAGTACCTGGATGGGAGACTACTTAGGAAGACCAAATACTATAGGTGTAAAAAATAAAAAGTGAGGGATTGTAAGCTGACAATCTGTGAGGTCAACCAAGAGTTGCCTCATCTAAAAAAAAAAAAAAATCACTTGAAGATCTTGCTAAAAATACAAATTTAAGAACCCCACTTCCATAGATTCTGACTCAGTAGATAGGTATGTTGGGATTTTTATAAAGCCCAACCAGTAGTTCCCAAACCAGACTTAATAGTAGCTTTCTCAGCCCTGCAAACTGCCCTCACATTTGAACATAGCAGAATCTTAGTAAAGAGAAACCCTATTGTAAGTTATGACAGAAACTGACAGAATACATTTATTGCTCCAGGCACACCTCTTTCCCCCCTTTATAGAAGAGAAAGGAGAGACAGTGAAATAAATGTGGCCACAGTAAGGTGTGCCATCTGGGATATGTTATAGGAAATTACCATCAGCTAGGTTTTTGCTTTTAAAAATCTAGCTACACATCTAATTTTATTTCAATTTTACAAATATTTACATTTTAACAAAGCACTCTTTCATAGAAGCAGGAGTCCTCTAATATTCCAAATACAATAACATATGGGACTCATTTCTTTGGCTGAAGCATATTTTTTTGTTCTTTAAATGGTGGACATCTACTCTCCATTCCCGCTAAAGAGAGCTAAAATAAAGCTGAAAAATAAAGTCTCAAAACAAGAGATATCAAGTTGCTTTCCCTGTCCGATTGCAGAAGATCGGGAAGACTTTCGCACAGCTGTGTTAGAAGCATACCATTTATCTCAATTTTATCGATCAGTGCTTTTGCCTTTTTCATCACTTTTTGCTAAAAAAAAAAAAAAAAGCACCGCTCTGCAAAAAGAAATGACTTGCTTCGATGGTCTTGCGGTTCCATCCTTTGAGTTTATCTACAATTACTTTAATTAAATTTTATTTTTTATAAATAGGAACTATAGTTTATTATACGATATGCATTTCTATTCCCACAATGTGTTACAGACTTCCAGAGAGGCAGTTTATACATCACATAACATGCATCTGCCTTAGGGTATTCATTTTGCCACAAAATGCCACTGGACCAGTAAGATATATTCATTAAGAATGCAAGCAATGCCCAAATGGCTTATTCTCTGACCACAATTATTTTTTAAAGGATATTTCTTTTCCAGTAACATCTCTTTTTTAAGACGTCAAGCAGACTAGTGTCTGAACGCACCAAAAAAAAAAAGATGCCAAGTTATCTTCTTTGGCAAAAAAGAATCAATGTATCAGCAACCATCAAGGAAAATAGAGAGACAGCTAAATACAAAAATGACCACACCATGCTTTAACTAGGAAATTCACAGAGCAGAAAGAAAGCAGTATTATTGGAGAGAAATGATATAAACTAAATCACTTGGCCTGGGAGCCAAGAAGTATGCTTGAACCAACAGGAAATCAGGAGAGAAGAGAAAGAAAAGGGAAGAGTAGCAGTAAAAGACACCGACAGCAGAAGCAGCAGACATTCTACTAGCAGAGAAAAGAGCCAGAAATCAAGACAGAAACGGCTTTGAAGCCTGAGGAGACTGAAATAAAAATAAATCAAATCTCAGTAACCCTTTAAAAAAAAAAAAAAAAAGCGGGAGTCTTTTTAATATGCTGCATGCAGGGCAAATGCAGCCAGCCTGAAACTTTTTGCAACCATAAAAACAAGTGAATGAATTAGTTGCACATAACATATTTAAGTAACCCCTAGGGCCTAACCCACTAGATACAGAATTTTAGAAGTTTGTCTAAACATGGAAAGGCTGAGTTTACATGCCAGAGATGAATTCCTGAAATAAAAGAAAAAACTTTTTTCAACAGTTTATTCATATAAAAGGCTGGTAAGCAGTTTCCACAGACTTTTAATGGAAACTGTGCTACTCTGGTTCTCTGCATGTGATGGGGAGAGTAACCAAGGCTGAATTTCTTTAAGATCACTCTCTTAACCATTTCGTTTACTTAATACACAGCACAAGCCAAAGGAGGACATGGACAGTTCAATTATTTTAATGCAGCAAAGTAGGATCTGAAAACCTGAGGTGATTAAGCTATTTTTAGAGTTCAAAAACTTTTTATTTGGAGTCTCAAGTAACTGATAAGCTATCTAAAACATCTGACAACTGAATACAATGACTCTGAAACCAAAGGGAATAAATAAGAATGTTGCTAATTTATTAATTCTTAAAATAACTTATTCAGATTCAAACTAGTCATATAGATCCAATAGTCAGCAATGAAGACTGCACACATTCTCTATGCTATAAACTGAGTAAAATGAAATTACAAATTTTTAAGAATAAGCTGTTCGATGGAAAAAAAAAAATCACAATTTTAGAAAAGGATCTTAGACCTAATGCATGTGAACCACAGCCAAAGTCGAGTCTGCATCAGAAGCGGTCCTCACATGTCTCTAAATTCTCAAATATCCAACAGTGTGGCTCATTTTCAAGAGCAGGATCTATGCTTAGGATCGGTATGATTTTGTACGTATGCATATCCCACATCCAACCTAAAATTTTAAGCAAGCCAACCTCTTGGTAACTTTTGGGTACCAGACTGTAGACTATCTTTCATAAAAATTACTAAAATTTAAACTGAAAGCTACCAATAGTGACAAAATAAGGGATGCAGATTTGAATTCTAATTCAAATTGGAATTTCTAACGTGAAATTCATGGTACATACACAAGATTTCCAAACATCAAGCTCAACATCACAGTACTAAGATCTTATCACAAGGAAAGCATACTACTGTGTTCAGATTAGTGCACTCTAGAATTACAAAGTCAGACACCTGATGTGGTGTCAGGCTAGGTCAAAACACAGTATACACACAATGAGCAGTACAAAACACACTATAATTATAAAAGCATAGATAATATGGATACCAAGATTTCTCCAGGGACAATATAAATGTTTTTTTCTGATTAAAATTGTATGTTGATGACAATACTTAATGTGCAACTATATAACTGAACATATAAGCAGAAAATTTATTGTAATTTAGCAGAAAGTCTAAATTAGGTAGCTATGAACAATGTACATGATATACAGTCTAGTGTAAATCATAAATTTTTGACAAAAGTGACTGGGGTTAGAATTTTAACATAGTTTTCAATTCAATTCTTTCCTTTCAGTCATCTAACATGTATCATCAGTGTCAATACTAACAGTTTTCCTGATCTTCCATAATTACCACTACCATGCAGCTATAGGTATACTACAAAGACAAAATTCCTGGATACGATGAAACAACCTGGGTTCCCTTAGAGGGTGCTTCTCTCTCCTCCACGCCCTGTGTTCCTCTAGCCTACCTCCTGCACCTCCCCTCTGCTTTACCTCTGAGGCTCCAATGAATGGGGTTGGTCACTGTTCACTTTCTCCTTGTCAGGTGTCCTAGATGCTAAACAATTTAAGGCAATAAAAATTGTTATTTAAGACTTTAGAAAGTTTAACCACCATCCCATAAAAGAGCAGGGAGAATCATACCACAAATAAAGGATGAGAACACGATGAAAATAGGTTCTGGATCTCTGCAATGAGGGAATTTTAAGCAACAGAACGAAATGGTCCATGTTAAGGGGGCATGCACAGGAGGGGGAACAGGATGGGAGAATGATTACTCTTTGCCCTAGTGTTTCTAGAGCTTTATAACCAAGGCAAGTTTATTTTCAGCATCGCTCTCAGCATAATATGGTTTCAGGACAAAACAGTGTCCTCTTCTCCCTAAAAAAAATATCTCCCCTCCTAACTAAATTTTCAACAAAAACTAGAATTGAAAAGCTTAAAAATAAGTATAACTAGGATGTTTACAAAATAATATAGATGTGTTTTAGATTTGTTTCACTGAAATAGGATGTTCTCACAGAGGAAGGGGGTGTAAGAGAGTGGTCATTCGCAGGAAGAACTGCTAATGTGAAGGAAGTGGCAGGAAGAAAGAGAAGCAAAGCGGTTCAAGGTAAAGTTTGAAGACTTAGTTTTGATGGAGACTGACCACACCTCCCAGTTCCTTTGGGATACATTTTCAGCTCCCTCACATTGCAAGACCTTCTTTGACAAGCCCCAAAATATCCTTCCCCTTTCATCTTCTGTAGCCCCCTATGTACCTACACATAAAACTAGAACAGCATATGTTCACAAATCTCAGAAGAGGCCATGTCCTCTCGTGCCTTGTCCCACTTTTGACATAAATTCCTCTTACCCCTTAAATCCCAGTGCAAACAGGTTTTTCTTTGCTCCCTCATTCTATTCTAAATCAGTTGATGCTTTCTCTTTTGCTTCTAAGGCACACAATTCATACTTCCAGTTGCAGAGGCCAAAGATTGTGCAGTCTTCCTTGACTCCTTTCCTTCATTCGTATTTCACATTTACCCATCAGCAAATCCTGCTAGCTCAATGTTTAAAATAGTTCCAAAATATGGCCACCTTCCACGACCTTCACTGCCACCCTTATGGTGCAAATCACTATCATCTCTCACCTAGATTACTGCAATAGCTTATCTGGTCTCCCTGCACCCTATGCCCCCAACAGTCAGCTGCCACACAGCAGCCAGATTTTATCTTAATTTTCAGTAGGACTATGTCAAAATCCTCAAAAGTTTCCCATCTCATTCACAGTAAAAGTCAAAATTCTTACAATGGGCTATAAACGTCCCATACAATCTGTGATGAATTCTCCAGCCCAAATTATCTCTACCCTATGACCTACAACTCCCCTCTTGCTTATCTACAACTCCAGGGACCACCACAGAGCAATAGACTCCAGGCCTTTGCTCTGTCTTCACTGATCTTTCCCTCATCTTCCTCCTGGCTCACTCACTCACCGCTTTTAAGAGCTCCGCTCCAACGTCACCTGCTCAGTGAAATCTTTACTAATCACTCTTTACAACCCTCATTCCACTTTTTCACTTTTTCCCACCATCTTCCATACTGTTATGTATTTAACTTACGGCTTATTGTCTGTCTCTTTGTACAAGAATGTAAACTACACACATATAAAGTTTTTTGCTGTTCTGTTCACCACTGAATCTCTAATAGTAAAGTGTCTGTCTTATGCTCTGTGCTCAATACTCACAAAATGAATAATGAATATCTACCTATCCAAATACTAAACAGATTATAAGCTGCTCAAAGGCAGGATGAATGTTTTTTAATTTCTGTAGTCTTTCCTATCTCTAAAGTACACAGGAGAGTATTTGGCACACAATTCATCCTCAGTATGTGTTAAATTAGCCAACTATTTACCTGTATCCTAGGAGAGGAAAATAGAATGTATATTTTATTTTCTGTATGGCTGATGGTAAGCACACATTATTAGAAAACATTGATGAAAAGATGCTTCACCTTTGCTTCCATATTAACAAAAAGTTTTTTGTGGTTGTTATTGTTCCCTTTAAAGCAAATGACTGGGTCAAACACTGTTTTTTAGATAAGTAGCCTTTTTCACTATAAAGTGAGACAGTGTGAGAAGTTAATTATAACAATTAGGAGAAAAACACAGCAAACTATAAAGTTTATGTATGGTCTTACAGAGCTCACTCACAGATAAAAAGGTAATAATTTCACAATGAGATTGGTTTACTCAAGAGATATTTTCCCAAATTCTACTCTTGTAAGTAGTGGTAAATTCAGTAGTGCTTAGGAAAATGAAAGGCGTTATAACTGTCTAACAAGTGCCAGTGCTGCCAGGTCTCAACAAATAAAATCTGTGATGACTGGAGACTGTTATTGCCCTAGAGAGGTTCCGTTTCCTGGAGCAAGAGACCTCTGGGAAGTTCGTTAATGAAAAAATCTTGAAATCTATATGCACGTCAAGCATCTATTGTTAGACCCATTATCATTATTTGATAACCATACAGATGACGTGATTAATAAAATTTTAAAAATAATTTTGTATTACTGGACTCAGAGTAGCTATACCATTTTCTTAATCATGGATGTTAGAATATGTAACTTCTATGGCATGGGAGAGACTACAAAATTAACGTGAAAAAAGGAATCCTCGCATTCCAAAAGACTGGGAACAAGTGCCCTAGAACAGCAGTCTCCAATCTTTTTAGCACCAGGGACCGGTGCTCCTATGAGAATCTAATGCCTGATGATCTGAGATGGAGCAGAGGTGGTGATGCCAGCGCTGGAGAGTGGCTGCAAATACAGATGGAGCTTCATTCACTTGCCTGCCACTTACCTCCTGCTGTGTGACAGCTCCTAATAGGCCACGGATCGGTACCAGTCCGCGACCCAGTAAATGGCACCCCTGCTCTACAGCTTTCAAAGGTATCATTCTACATATAATTATTCACTTCTAGAGATTACATTACTGCATGGATAAATAAGCATTTTTCTCATGCTGGTATTCCTAATTGGCAATATGATATAGAAGTAACTTGAGTTTGAGTCTTGACTGTTCTACTAGCTAGCTTTTAAACCATGAACAATAATTCCACAAGCTTCGATTCCTTCACTTATAAAATAGGGGTGAACCCATCTCCCCTAACCACTTCATTAAGAGCTGTGACAAGATAAAAGCAGAATGGATGTTACATCATAAAGTATGATATAAATATTACTATATAGAAGAATGCATGGAGGTAATGTGTGGCTGAAATGATTAAGTTTAGACTTGACCATAAAAGGACCTTACTGCTAAGCTAAAGAGTTTTTAGACCTGACCTCGAATAAAAAACCATTAGAGATTTTACTGAGGAGGGTGGGGATGGTGGCTGTGTGTATATGTGTGAAGATCAATGAGATAATTGCGCCGTCAAAGAAATCTAGTGGCTCTGTGAAAGGACGGCTAACAGTGGAAAGAACTAGTGGCTATTTATGATAGTCCACACGCAAGATAAAAGCTTGGACTATAGCACTGACAGTAAGATAAGAGTGGATCGACTTCAGCACTGCAAAAGGCTCTACATTTAAGAGAAAAGGAAGAATTTTAATACAAGCAGATAGGTGGACAATCACCCCCCCAAAAAAAAAATCCCCCTAATTTTGTTATTGGAAAAGACTGAGTTTAGATGTGTTAAATTTGAGATGTCCGGGGGTATTCAAGTAGAGATGTCCAAGAAGGTATGCAATTAAACATCAGAAAGAATAGGTTGTATAAAGAGCTATAGATCTAGGAGTCAGCTGCTTGAGATGGCTGAAGACGTTAGAGAAAAGAGTGAGAAGAGCAAGGGAGTGCTGAATAAAGAACCCGGAGAACATCAAAACCAGAGGAGTGGACAGAAGTATAACCAGAGAAGGAGAATAAAAAGAATATGAGATAAGACGGAAGAGGGAATTTATCACAAATGCTCCAACTTGCAGAAATATTAAAGATGAAATTCAAAGGATGCTTAAGTTTGATGTTTTAGAATTAAATACTAAGGATCAGAGGATACTTCTGACTTAGTTCCATGTTTACAGAAATATTCATTTCCTCTGAGGAAAAATTTGTGAACTCCCAGAATAAGCCTCCACTATACCCCTAGGCAAAAGCTTCCTAATTGGTCAGCCCTATTCTTCCTTCACATACCTGAGACCCCACCGCCTTCAAGCACTAACAGTCAGAAATGATGCTGATAAGCCAAAGGGCAACAATAGAACGTGAAGATCATTTTCTGGAGAGAAAGAAGTCATTTGCTTTTGTTTTGGATTACAGCCAACAGATGCTTTTTATTAGAGGCCTCGAGGTCCTTATAACACATACCCCTTTGCTTTACTCTTGTGAAAATGATAAAAATTTGCCCTCCAAATCTTAATTTTCTGCTCAAATGAAAACTTAAGAACTCAAGGAGTCATTTTCCATTTAACCCTAGGCCTTAAAACAATTCTCTCTTTATCTATAGCACAATAAATGACTTCCAACTATACTCCTACATGGCCAAGAGATTAAGCTATGTTTGAGATATTCTATTTCAAATGGCAATGAGATATGATTTTTCGTAAAAACAGCCTATTTTAGGACCTACCAAGTCGAATTTCAGGTATTTGGGAAATTTCATCATCCAGAACACCTCATTACCTAGCAATACTAGAGACAGCTGGCATTAGCCTTATCATTTTGCCACCACTAGTAATTCATTTACCCATCTGACCAAGCCAGAAATCTGGAAGTCATCTTAGTCTCCCTTTCTCTAACCTCCAACGATTAATCATTCTCCAGTTAAACAGTTCTTAAAAATGGTCCTCTACCAGCACTATTCCTTGTCCAAGTATGAAGCCATTAACTAAACTGACAGTGCCTCAAATTATATTGGTCAGATTTGGGGCTGATGTCTAGATATTTAACATCTTGTAATAAATTCTGCCCTTGCATGTCAATGCAAAATCAATGAAGTGACCTTTGAACACCAAACTCAACTCCTCGCAACGTTGCCCCATCACCTTACCTGGGAACACGTGCCTAGGACTTCCAAAATGCTAGATTCTCCTACAACCCACGGGCCTGGGTTAGATTTCCATCCCTTTATTTACTACCATCTATGAACAAGAAAGTCTTAAGTTCTTGGAAGTACAAAAGCAAGAAAGTCCTAATCTCAATAATGTAAATGTTGATGAGATCTTGATTATACTACAGGAAGATAAAGGAACAAATCTATTTGCATAATTATAATAAATTTACAAATTTTTACAGTCAAAAATCACTAATTTAGCATTCTGCTATGATCTAAAAATACAACAAAAGTTTTAAAAGTAAGGCGGTTACCTGAGGAGAGTCAAAAGGATATCGACTACTAAACTTAAATAGAAGTTGAAATTTTTCCCCTTCATATAAGGTACCTGGTGCACCTTCCATGTCTACAATCCACCTAGAACAGAAAAAAACAAATTTAAAACTTGAGATAAAAGGGACTGGGGTGAGAAGGAGAAAATGGAACACCAAGTACTTCCTCTACACCAGGCACTGGCACAGGGATCATTCATATGTAACAGCACACTTTATCCTCCCAGCAACTATAAAAGTCGGTATATTAACATTCCTGGCCCTACTCCCTTCTCTGCCGCTCAAGGATAAAATAACTAGATCAAGGTCAGACGGCCAGTAAAGGACAGAGCCAAATTTTAACCTGGGTCTGGGAAAAAAAAAAACCCCAAAACAAAAACCCAACTCAGGTGTGCTAATACCAAAGCTTATACTTTTCCTACTCAATTTATGCTATCTTATTTTTTCAAGACTATTTTTACAATAACTAAAAAGATTTTATAGACATCAAACTAATCAACTGCCATTCTGATATCAATTATTTTAGAACTGGGGAAGTAGGTATCAGTAATGACTACAGAGAATTGCAGCAGTCACTCTGCCTTTCTCATCAGTATTCTAGAGAAGACTAAAAAGGGAAAAGGAAGTAAGCTGACATCAGTCCACTTCTCTGATGGGTATTCAAGGCTCTATGTGGCCTTTCCTTTGTCTCTCAGTATGTTTCAATTGTTTAATAAAAACCAGAATAGATTTCTATGGCATCTATGCAAGCTGACTTTGTTTCCAAATATAACAATCATGAAAATAAATTTGCTTCTAAGTATATTTTGTACACTACTTCTTGTTCTCTTCTTTAAAAAAAAGGCGAGGGGAGCAGGGATTATGATAGCAAAAATGATGGGGCAGCATTTAGAAGCAAAAGTGGACCAAAGTCATAAGATTTGAGTTCCTCATTATAGCTCTGCCACTTATAGTAATTATTGTACATCTGGCCAATGTCTTTCATCTTATACTCTTCCAGTATAAAAATTTATCATTTTAAATACTGGGAAACAAAAAGAAGATTGAGAATACAGTTTTAGGGTTCTATTCATCACCTCACATATCTGCCCCTTAACTAGCTGTGTGACCATGAATAAGCTGTTTTACTTCTCCCGTTTTAACTACTTCAATTGTAAAATAGATATTAAAAAAAAAAAAAGATATTCAATTCAAAGTATTGTTGGAAAGACAAATGACATTACATATGCAAAAGACAGCACATTCCTGACATCAGAGCCAGAAGCAGTAAATTATGTACAAAGCAAAAGCTGCACTAAAAAAAACCCCAGAAAACTAAAACCTGTTCTCTCTGTAAACTAGGTAGGCCCTCCCTAGCCATCAGAACCCCTTTATATCCTCCCTCCCTGACACCCATTACAGAGAGCAAAAGCGATATTCTGAGAAAAAAGCAGGACTCTCTGGTGCCCTTTCATTCTGTTTGTAAGGTAATTTTTAGGGCACTCAATGTACCATAAATTTACATGCAATCTATCCAAACACAGTTTTTAAACAATAGCAAAGCAAATATCTCAGTAATTCTTCAAATAGCTAGCTGGGTGAGAGACAGGTCAAAGGTGGCATAATTTTCAATATTGTGTAGGATAACCTTAAAAAACATTTTACTATTTAGAAAATAATGTATGTTCACTATAAAAAATTAAGAAAAAATATTAAAAAAAAAAACCAAAAATCACCCAAAGATAACCACTATTAAAGTAAGTTCTTTGGGTACATTTCATTCTAGTCATTTTGCGGTTTCTATCAATGGTATCGAAGTCCAGTGAAATGCATTATGTGCTAACTTAAATTTACATAAATTCAGATCGCCAGTGTTTATGATCCTAATCACGAGCACACACCCCAGAGTAAGAATGAGGTGGGAGCAGTCTCAGTTCTTAACTTCTTGTGAGTAGCTATTGCTCTGTGATTCTAATATTTAAACAGTATTTTTCAAACATTCATGTCTCCTAATCAAAGAAACAGCCATCTATTCTCCTTTGAAGGGAAAACTAGCTTAGTTGGGTTTATTAAGACAGGATACACACCAATATGACCTCTCTAAGGGATTTTCAAAGGTAATTATGACTACACATAATTTTTGCCTTACCAGCTGACTACAGACTATAACTCAAGGGATGACATTTCCCAATACTACCTAGTGAAATCATTTCTCTATTACTGACATTTACATTGTTTCCAAAATGTCCCTAGAAATAGTAATGTTGAAATGAGTTCACAGTTGACCGTAGAGCAACATGAGTTTAAACTGTGCAGGTCCACTTACATGTGAATTTTTTTCGATAAATATATACAGTACTATAAATATTATAGTCTCTTCCCTATGATTCTAATAACATTTTCTTTTCTCTAGCTTAAGAATACAGCATAAAAATACATAAAACACTCAAAATCTGTGTTAATCTACTAATGTTATTGGTAAGGCTTTTGGTCAACAATAGACTGCTAGGTTAAGTTTTTAAGGAGTCAAAAGTTATTTGTGAATTTCTGACTACATGGTGGGGGTGGGGATCTGCGTCACTAACCCCACATTGTTCAAGGGTCAACTGTAGTTAGTTCTAAAATCAATCTTTCTATGTCTTTTTTCATTCCTTAGGATAGCACACGGGTTTATTAGCTCAAAAGATATGATAATCATATTTTTAAAGGTCTTAATACATGCCACTGAACTCTTCCAGAAAGCCTGAGGTGCTTTCATCATCTTCCTTATCCATATCCACATCCCAGAGAATTCCACTTAAAACTATTTTAAGATCTGATATTTACAGGACTATTTTTATATCCTGAATGATGGTCCAAATATAATTAAACATTTATGACTTATAATAAATTATTTTAAAAGAAAAATTATTGCCTGACAAACATCTCTAAATGACAGATTTATTCTGCAACACAGATAATGTTGTTTACAAAAGAAACTATCAACAAAACAAAAAGGCATCTGACTGGATACGAGGAGATATTTACAAACAATTCCTTTGATAAGGCGCTAATATACAAAACATAAAGAACTCATACAACTCAATGACAAAAAAACTCAAACAATTCAATTAAAAAACAGGCAGAGGACCTGAACAGATACCTTATTCAAGAAGACATACACAGATGGGCAACAGATATAAGATGCTCAGCTTCATTAGTTATAAGGGAAATGCAAATCAAAACCACAATGAGAAACCACTTCATACCTGTTAGAATGGCTATTATCAATAACAAGAGTTTAACAAGTATCGGAGATGTGAAGAAAAGAACCTCACACACTGCTGGTGGGAATGTAAATTGGTGCAGCCACTATAGAAAACAGAATGGAGGTTCCTCAAAAAAATTAAGAACAGAGCTATCACATGACCCAGAAAGTCCTCTTCTGGGTATCTACCCAAAAAATTTGAACACTTACTCGTAAAGATATATGTACCCCTGCGTTTATTGCATCATTATTCACAATAGCCAAGACATGGAAACAACCCAAGTGTTCTTCGAATGATGATTAGGTATAGAAGAGGTGGTACATATATACAATGGAATACTACTAAGTCATAAAAAGATGAAATATTGCCATATCAGACAACATGGATGGATTGAGAGTATCATTACAAGTGAATTAATTCAGATGGAAAAGGACAAGAACCATATAACTTCACTTATATGTGTGATATAAAACAAAAAGCAACAAAAGAACAAACTCAGACACAGACAATAGTATGGTGGTTAGTGGGCAGGGGGGACAGTGAAGAGGGTAAAGGGGGTCAGATATCTGGTGACAGAAGACTAGACTTTGGGTGGTGAGCACACAATGGAATATACAAATGATGTATTATGAAGTTGCATACCTAAAATTTATGTTACTAACCAATGTTACCCCAATAAATTTTAAAATAAAGATAATGCTATTTAGGGAGTTATTATTTGTGGTATCACTACTTATTTGTAAAAATGTAAAAAATTCCTTTAACATTTTATAAATCACTGTGCTGTATGGTTCTCCCTGAATCCCTAAAAAGTAAAGGTTGAAAGAGGGAGCAACAATTACCAATTTCCTTGAAAACTGTAGGGCTAGCTGTTACAGAATATTCTGAGGTAGGTTAACAAAGAAAGAGAGGAAAAAGCCTACAGGGCTCTTTCCTCTCTTATTTTATAATTAAACAGGGCTTGCTGTTTTATTATACTGAACAAAAACAGGTCACTTGTTTAATTGTATAGAACAAATAACACTCTAAATGTGTGCTCCATTTTTAAATTCTGATATAAATGAAAAATCAATTGAGAGCCAAGAAAAGACATGGAAGAACCTTAAATGCATATTACTAAGTGAAAGAAGTCAATCTAAAAGGGCTACATACCATACAATTCCAACTATGTGACATTCTGGAAAAGGGAAAACTATGGAGACAGTAAAAGGACCAGCGGTTGGGGCAGGGAGAGAAAGATGAACAGGTGGAGCACAGAGGATTTTTATGGCAGTGAAAATACTCTGTATGATACTGTAATGACAGAAAATGTTATTATACATGTGTACGAATACACAGAATATGCAACATCAGTAGTGAACCCTAATGCAAACTACAGACTTCAGGTGATTATGATGTGTCAATGTAGGTTCACCAATTGCCACAAATGTCCCACTCTGGTGGGGGATGCTGGTAATGGAGGAGGCTGTGTGCGTGTGGGAGCAGCGAGTATATGGGAAATCTCTATACCTTCTACTCAATTTTGCAGTGGAGCTAAAAATAAAAATGCTCAACTGAGAACCAGCAATGTTTAAAGAGACTGCTATAGAGCTGGAGATGTGTACTATATTTTCAAACATTAATATATCCATCCAAACATCAATATATCCACGCTTAAAACTTGACTCCTGTCAAGTACTGACTCAAATGGCAAAGTCAAAAGTAACCAAAACTGTTTCTTCTGAAAAGAGGTTGTGTGAATTTTGGTCACTTTTGCTCTCTGGACCTAGAAAAATCACTAAATATTTGAATTGTCCTATTTGTGCTACAAGTTTGGTCTACAGTAAACTTTCATCTTGTTGGCTCCTGTTCTTTTTATGCTTTTGGAGATTTTTTACAAGGGTCAATTATTTTAAATTTCCGCCCTATTTCAAAACATTTACCCTGTCTAACGGGATTAGTAAATCAAAGAAGTGATAAGAATAGATCATACTGTGTTGTAAGACCTTAGTATGATACTCTTGAAAACACTTCACGCTCATTTAAAAGCTCCTTTTTTAAGAGAGGGGACACCTGCATCTCTCTGCTCTTTTGGTGTCCTAGCTGGAAAGAGACTTCTGCTCCACTCCCAAAGAAGGATCTGAATTAGAATGCCTCTGTCCTCCTTCCACTCTTCACTTTTTCATGCACAGAATAAGCTCTGCTTACTGTATTTACCTCTTACTGGAAGAGAATGTGATGAATACAAAATTCTGCATTTAAAAAAATGAGTATATATTCACACATTAATAATAAAAGAAACAAATAAGCACTTTAAAAATTAAATACTTACTGTGTAATTGAATTTTGAACACTCTTTTCATTTAAAGTCATCCCAGGAGGTGGGTCATTTTGCAAAGCCAACAGTTCTTTCTGCAGTCGTTTCTAGAATATCAAAAAAATTTGCATTTTTTTTTGGTTATGACATAATATATCCTACTAGTTATACAGTCGGAAAGCCTTGATTAAATTTCCTTCAAATGCTCCCACATTTTCCTTTACAAACCCCTTACTTCTATATAAGCCTAACTCTCAAATTTTTAATTGCCTGTCCTATAAATCACAATCTATTGTTAAAATATTTCTAAATGTATTTGTAAACACTGACACTGTAGAGTGGTTATAAAGAGCAGCCAGCTACCTCAAGAACTTCATAGCCACTCCACTGAGGTTTATAAGATCTCAGCCTAGGTTGTAAGTGCTTAAAGTTTTAGCAGTGCTTCCTTTACTGCCTTGTCAATTATAAAAACCATATTCCTCCATAATCCTTAAAGAATGTGTCATTTCAGACAGACAAGTGTTCCAGAGGAACTACACAAGTAACCAACCTGTCATGCAAAAGTATTTTGAAAAAGTTCTAAATAATTTTAGTTTACAATTTATAGCTCATATTTCTGTTTTCTTAAATAGTATCATCTGCACACGATTTAATATTTCGGCACCAGAATATAACATATCAGGGCCTGAGATATGTAAACTTACTTTTCCACATACTAGATGCCCCCAAAAGGATGTGTATTTTGCAATCTTGTTTATACAGCTTTTATTGTTCAACTTTTCTCTTATTATCATCATTAGTGGACATACTTTTTCAGGACAAAAGAAAAACCACAGCAGCCCACAATTTATGGGTTTAAAAACCAAATAACCAATGTTTAATTAGAATTGCAAGCAACATTATAAAGATTCTTAATGTGCATCTTTTTTTGGATTAGACAAGCATGGAATTATCTGCTCAGAACTCAAGAATTCACTGCTTAAAAGCTAGTTTCTGCTTTTTCTGGACAATGAAACTTTACTATAAACACAGCAATGTTTCCAGATCATTTCAGTTTACAACACCTTTAAATAGGCTTAACATCATCAAACACCACTACAGATTAGAAAACTCTTCTCAAACACCACTACAGATTAGTGATTAGAGAATCACTAATATAACTTTAATAAATGGTTCTTTAAGTTGCCAAGAATGAAAACTTTTCCACAGATCTTGCAGTATTATAATTGCTAGTAACAATGAAAATAAGGTATCAACTTCTTGCAATTTCTGACCCCCCACGTTCTAACCCCAACTCTCATTACCCAGCAAAAGGGTTTATTTATTTTGGCGAATATATCACATCATCTTGGTGTAACAAATCACTTGGCGAATATATCACATCATTTTGGTGTAACAAATCACAACTCATCTTCAGTGTTGGCATTAATACTGTTAACGTTTATTGCTTCATGTGCTCTTAAACTATATTATATATTGCCTCACTGTAACTAAAGAAATTAGGAACTATTTCTCCAAGTCCTCGTAAAATAAAAGCATGACTCAAAACCTCATCCACAGATCACAATTTGTGAAGCACAGTGCTAAACCATGGAGTTTTATCTCAATGATGTGAGCTTTGCTTTTCTGGCTCCTGATCATTTTCACCAATGCCCATGCTTACATGTCAGTTTTTTGCTTTTTCGGACAGCTGAGGATGATAGGGATGATTGTATAAAAAAGTATTAAGATGGCTGTTTTATCATGAACATTACTGTTTAAGTTGCTGACTACCAATTGTATCAAAAGAAATGCTCCCAGTAAAAAATAAAATAAGTATTTTAAATAGCATCCTAAAAGGTCATTCATATACAAACCAGTTCAGCGCCTCAACTAATACATTTCTATAAGTATTACCTCACACTAATGTATATTGAAAGACACAAAAAATTTATACTCTTGTGGTTATAAATCAAAATCAGAATATATCCCTCTTAGGTACTAATAATAACAATACAACAAGGAACAAAGTGACAAGATTTGTGGCCCCGTAAAGATTAAATTCTAGTGGAGGAAGAGATGGTCAATAAATAATAACAAAACAAATAAGTATATGGTACTTTAAAATGAGATGAAAGATGGAGCAAGTTAAGGTGACAGGGAGTTAGGTCTTCCATCTTAAGTTTTATCTGAAATTGACAGTTTGAGGAACTATTCTAAAGAGTAGAAATCTTTACTAAGCATCGGGAGAAATATCAGTGAGAGAGGGAAAAAACATTAAAAATGTAGAGATATATGACAATAGCTGCTAACGTAACAGTACATAAAATGGCTAACAATGTTTTCTCCAATTTCATCTAACAACCAACTAAAGATGGAAGGTTAACAATAAGGGTGCATAATAGAAAAAAAAGAATCCCATACACATTAACATCATGACACTAACAAATAACCACTATTTCCTCCCAACAGTATTAAGAAACAATTATAACAAAAGCCATTTCTCTTCTTTCAGGGTGAAATGCTAGACCATGAAATTTTAGTTTAAAATACCGATGCAGCAGGAAACATTTTCTTTCCT